CCAATGGCATAAGAAATAATACTAAGAATCAAAAAATAGGATCATACAAATTTAAAACCTTCTTCATAGCAAAAGAAACAACCAACACAGTGAAGAGACAACCTACAGAATGGGGAAAAAAGTTTTGTCACCCACTCTTCAGACTGAGGACTAACATCTGGAAATATAAAGAACTCAAAAAAGTTAGACCCACCCAAAAAAAAGATCCAATGAAAAAAATGGACAACGGAAATTAATAGACACATCACAGAAGAACAAATAATCAATAAACACATTAAAATCTTCAATATCACTAATCATTAAATATCTTCAATATCACTGGAGAAATGCAAATTAAAACTACATGGATACCATCTTACCCCAGGAAGAATGGCCATTATCAAAAAATCAAATAATATCAAATGCTGGTAAGGCCATGGGGGGAAGGAACCCTATCGTGTTGGTGGGAATGTAAACTAGTATAACCACTATAGAAATATAGAGATACCTCAAAAAATTAAAAATAGGAATTCCATTTGGTCTAGCTATCCCCCTGGAGGTATTTCCCCAAAAGAGTTAAAGTTATCATATTACAGGAATACATGCACACCCATGTCTGTAATAACACAATTTATAATAGCTAAATTGTAGAAACCGTGTTAATGTCCATGAACAGATGACAGGATAAAGAAAATGTGGCATTTACACACAATGGAGTAGTTCTCTGCCATAAAGAAAAACTTTCAGCATTTGTAAGCAAACGGATGCAGCATGAAAACATAATGTTAAGTGAAGTGAGTCATACACATTTAAATGCTTAATTATCACGTGGTTTTTGAGAAAGAAAGAGCACAAAATAGAAAATAGATAAATAGAAAGTAGGGAGAAGTTCAAATACCTCCCAAAATTATGTATTTTGTTGTTTCAAAACTGCTTATTTGTTTCATTTATACTACTAGTCTCTTTTTTCATGGAAAAGAAAGCTTTGTCCTTTCATTTGTTTGTTCCTTCTATGTGAGAGAGCATTTTTTTTGTCTATGATTTGTATTCCGAGTAACACTATGGTCATTCTTTTAAGATCATGATACATGGTATATTAACCCTTGTTATTCTCTAATTATTTTTTAAGAAATTTTGTATTATTTTTCCATAGGAAAATATTTGAAAAGGATTTGTCTTTTTATATGATGTAGAAATTCAATGCAACCTTTGTCAAAATTTCTGCATTTTTGTACAAATCAGATGATATCCAAACCCACATGGAAATACAAGGAACCTGGAATAGCCAAACAATTTTGGAAAAGAAAATACACTGAAAGCCTAATACTTCCTCATTTTAAAAATTCCTATTAAGCTACAGTAATCTAAACTGCATATTCCTGCACATACCCATGGAACAGAATGTAGTGAGAAATAAATCCTTCCATTTATAATCATTTATTTTTTTACAAGGTCAGTCAGTGGTGTCAGCAATAAGTCAGTTAATATGGAAATAATAGTTTTGTTTTCCTTTTTTTTTTTTTTTCTGGTACCGGGAGTCAAACTCACGACCTTGCACTTGCCAGGCAGGTGCTGTGCCACTGAGCTAAATCCCCAGCCCCTTAGTTTTGTTTTCTTAACAGTAATGCTAAGGCAATTGCAAATTTGCACATAAAGACAGAATGTTGAGCCATATCTCACACAATATGCCAAAAATAATACAAAAAGAATCAAAAATCTAAATATACAAGCTAAGACTAAAACATTTTGAAGAGCAGAGTGTAAAATTTCATGACCTTGGATTTGGCATGGTTTTGAAAATTACAATACCAAAAGCTGAAGCAAGAAAACCAAAAGTAGATCAAGTGAGTTTCACAAAAATAAAATATCCCATGTTTCAAATGTCACAATTAAAAAAGGAAAAAGACACACATTAGAGGATAAACTATTTGCCATATATTTGTTAAGGCAATACTATCCAAAATATAAATTAACAAAATCTTATCCACTCAACAAGGAGGAAAATAGCTTGATTAAAACTGAGAAAAGGCTTTAAATTATTTCTCAGGTATGCAAAGGGCCAATAAACGCATGAAAATATGGTGACCAGCATTAGTCATTAAGGAAAAGCAAAGCAAAGTCATCATGAGATTGCAGTTCACATCTAGTAGGATGACTGACAATGGATAAAGTGAAATGTTGGTTAAGACGTGGAGAAATCACAACTCTCATACACTGCTGGTAAGAATGTAAAATGGTGCAACCACTTTGGAAAAGTTTAGAAACTGTCAAATGTTAAACACAGAGTTATTTATATTCCAAAAGTTCCATAGCACAATATATTCATAAGTGAATTAAAAACTTGTACTAATAAAAAATCTGTACAAGGATATTCATAGAAGTCTTATTCCTACTTGCCAAAAAAAAAAAAAAAAAGCAGAAACAACCCAAATGCTTATCCAACAATGGATGGATAAGTGAAGTGTGGCATATTGACACAGTGGAATATTGTGTTAAAATTCAATTTGATGACCAATAAAACATGGATTTGATAGAGGAGGAGGAGATTTAGACCACTGAGGAAAAACTATGAACAAGAAAATGCCATTGGAGTAAAAGACACTGTTAGGTAGCAGTAGATTTTAGTTACTGATATTCCATTTAAAAAGTGTGCACAATTATAAGAGCTTTAGCCACTTGCTGCCTAAGACACTCACCTATTCACTTTGAACCATACTTTTAGGTTTTATTAAATGATAAAGAGTTTATGTTAGAATATTGAGTTAGCTTTTTCTGAGTTCATTTTCCTAAGAGTAAGCACTGACTTCAGATTTGTGCTGCAGAATGTTATGCTATTGAGAAAAGAAACTTCACTGCACCTAAAAGAAGGCAAGACTGTGATCTATGGAAGGTAATGATAGAGATATTTCAACTGAGATCTCACCTGGGGAAATGCATATGTTTGAAGACTAAACTTCCCAAGATGTACCTACATTCACAAGAGAACATCACTGATCTGGAAAGTTCAGAATTTTTTTAGAAACAATTTCCTTTCATCATAGGTACATGTAAAACTTTTCAGTGATGATGACTGAATATTCACTTGGAAAACAGTATCCTGTAAAGTTTTTTGCAGGTTTTGTTTTTCTAAAAATTGTGCTATAGGGGCTGGGGATTTAGCTCAGTGGCACAGTGCCTGCTTGGCAAGCGCAAGGTCGTAAGTTCGATTCCCAGTACCGGAAAAAAAAAAAAATTGTGCTACGTGTTGTCAAGCTCAATATCTTCACACCCATGTTCTTCTTGTTCAAGGATCAGTGAAGATGTTTTATCTTCCATGACAGAGTTGGCAGGTTTTCTAGAAGACTGAAGAAAGATGTCTGAAAAAAAATAGGGAGAATCTTGGTTTTGGTGGTGACAAATAGACAATACAGAGTTATCTTGTTACAAGAAAGGCTAGTGAAAGGGACTACTAAATATTTATGGGGATGCAAAGCTTGATGAAAGATGAGAGAGTGCTACTTCATACTGACTCTGCACTGTATAAAGCCTTGTCCTGATTATAATAATTTGAAAGGAGACAGGTCAATAAGGGCAAGGAGTGGGAGAGGCAGTCCCCATCTATCACACCAGAGTGGCCTGACTCCTTAAAGATTGGAAGCAGGAGATGGCTTCTCTCAAATTGTTTGGTACCTCAACAACAGAGAACTCTTGACCTCAAAGTACTCCTGAGACAATTTGAATCCTCTGTCAGAGGCCAAAGAGAATAACTCAACCTATAGTGTCCTGCTCACCACAGACCACATGCCCCTGTGAGAGCAGAGAGCCTGGTCCTAGGGCACAGTGCCAGGTGTCAGCTGAAAAAGTGACAAGAAAGCCTTTCTTCCTCCTAGTGATGAAACTATATGTCCCAGTAAATAAGGCCATTACACACTGTATATTACTAGTGTAATGTCAACTTCAAACATTTGGTTATACAGATCTGCAAAGCAAATTTTTAAATTTAATTTACTTCACTATCAAAAACCATGGGATTGGGCCTCTGACACAAAGCCTGCCTGGCAAGCACAAGGTCATGAGTTCAATTCCCAGTACCACAAAAAAAAAATTGAATTACCTTTCAGAATTTGAAGAAATCTTCATATTTATTTTTAGAATATATATTCATTTGAGGTATAAAAAGATGGGAACAAAGCCACAATGTCTCTGCAACTCATACAAATGCCGCATCCAATAGGGAATAAGCACAGACAGGGAGAACACAATACAGTTCTCTTCTCAAAAGAGTTGGAACAGCTGCAAAAGACTTGGGAAAGAGCTGCATCTAGGAATGCCAGGTTACATAGATTCCTGCAGTGAAGATCTAACATTTGATAGGTTTAACCCCATCTTTCCCATGACCAGGATGTAAGGTGACTACAGACATTGCTGTCCAGCCACCTGGGTGAGAATGCCTGGCACAATCTCCCTCTTCCAGGAAAGAGTACTTTTTACTTATCCCTTGGGAAGGAAGAAACTTCAGGCACAGGTAACTCTTCAACATCACTGTAACCATTTTCTGTGGCATCTACATTCCCTCCTGAAGTTTCTCAAAACAAACAAGGAATAAGAGGAAAGAGCAAAATATGAACTGGACTGTGACATCAGAAGGCTCTTCTAAATGTTGGTACTGTATTCCAAGGCTGCTCCCAAAGGCTTATGCATGATCTCAGTATTCTAGGAAGCCATGGTAATCCTCTAAATATTCCAGTAATTAGGGTTTTTAATATTTTAATACAGCCTCTCATGCCATAAAACAATTATTATGCAATGAGTTTCAGATGCTACTTTCAGGCATATTGTGCATATTTAAAACATAATATTTATATATCAGTGACTGAGGGAGATTGGTTTTGAACCAAGAGAATTCAGAATATTTGTGTACCCTCTGAGGTAATGTAAGGGCAAAAATCTCCCGGCATAAATTGGGCTGTATTCCACAAGAGACCGACTCTATTGAGCACAAAACAGAGTTTATTAATTTGAGGCTACCCACCCTTCATCCCCGATTTGCAAATCAGGGAAGTGAGCGGGTGGGCCTGCCTTCATTCCCACCTTATATACATTTTTGTTTCCATGGTAACAGACTGGGATGTTACATTTGCTGACCCCGGTGGCCATATGGTCTTTATCTCATCCTGTGGGACCCCAGGTCAGTTGCAGGTCGCATGTCTAACCATGATAAATGTTTCTCCCATTACGTTCCATTTGTCTCCTTTTTTACAACCTATGCATTTCTTTAGGGTTACAATGTTTACCTAGGGCCAAGAGATGGAACAGCCCAGGCAGGGTCACAGAGGGTTACGTAGGCCTGGGTGCCCCTTATTTCCAGGAGATATTCCCGGGCAGTTTAACTAGGGGATTAGCTCTTACACTGTCCTGGAAGGCTTCCCAAGGCACCTCTTAGACTTTTACTAAAACTATTTTATCTAAAATAACACACTATGATTTATTGTCCCCTACAGTAATGGAAGACAAAGAGCTCTTAGGGGAAGAGAAGCCTGGTTTCTATAACCCACAGATAGGCATTCCCACCTACCCACTCCCAGGAATCCTGGGTTTTAAACACCTCTAGTTCTCTGTTGCTATTAAGACCCCCACATTGACAGAGCCACACAGGACAAGCCTCATAGCAAGAACTGTTCATCTCTGCTACTTGGAGAAGATCCAGTGTGGATATTCTCCTCACTAAGGTCCTTTGTACAGAAAAGCTCCTAGTAATTTGATAAAAACAGGCATCACACACTATATGTTCCAGGGTTGCTCAAAGCCAAAAAACTTATCTCAATATTCACATAAATCACAATATGATTCATATATCACTCTGTATTAGGGACAAAACCATTCTTCTCAATGTTCTCTTTCACCATGTAATTTTTGAGCGTACCCATTTCAGATGTAACTTTATGAAAAGTAAATTTTGAATTATAATACATTTGATATATATATATGTGACCCCATAGAAGTAACTATGAATACAGGAAGAACTGTATGAATACAGGAAGAAGTAACTATGAATACAGGAAGAGCTTTATCTTTCCCTTTCTGAGGTCACAGAATGGACAGAATGGAACAAATTGTTATGAACTGGAGAGAAGAGACTCTTTCTACTTCAATCACAGGATATTCTCCTCATATGAAATTCCTCCTCCACACCCAACCACCCATAGAAAGACCTGCCTTTACTAGCTGGAACAAATTTGGGATTGCCAGTCCCATTGTCCCCAGTGGGACAATATGGCAGCTTAGTCACTAAGTCACCAGACGGGTTTCCTAGTAGGGAGAAAAACATTGTGGAGAAACACATAGCAAGAGGATCAGTATTATGTTTCAGAGGAAATCTTGAGGTTCCGGAATTATATGAAGGGTTTGGAGCGCCAATCTTACTTAGCAGGAGGCTGACCACTGGAGATTAGGTTTGTGGTAAGGTCTGTATCTGCTGAAGATACACAAACTCAAGGGCAACTCATAAAGAAAGGAGGACATTAGCATACCTGAGATATCCAACAGAAACCCCTTCTCTTGCTCTATGAGATAATCTATCTTCTGGTAGAAGGCCACATGGACAGCATCTTCAAAAATGGTTACACCTGCAGAGAGCAGAATGATTTCAGAGATTGCTCTTGGAGATATTTCCCTGAATATCACACAAAATCTTCTGTGTTCCCCAATGGTGACATTTGGAGAAACTCCTCTGGGCTTATAGGGTCCCTTTCTTTAGCTTTGTACTCTTTGGGGACAATGTTGTAGTCAGAGTTTCCAAAGGAATAAATTTAACATAAGACACATACAAAATTATTTTGTAACATTCACCCAAAAACTCAAATGCAAAAGAGTGCAAGAGATTTCCTCATACACTAGAGACCCAAAGAATACAACTTGTTGAGTCCAACTGAAGACCTAGAGCCCATGGCAATCTCTGGAGGCCTAGAACCCACGACAATGTCTCATGCAAGTCTATATCTAGGCTCTGCATTGGGAAGGCTCAAAGGTCATTGGTTGAAGCTAGAATGTCTGTGCCAGTAGGATGAAGGATCTGTGGTCGCAGGCTAAGGGATTTGCACTGAAACAAGGAAGCAATATTCAAGGTAGGACCAGAGCTTCTCTAAAGAGAACTGCAGCTATCCTCAGTGACAGTGAGGATCCAAGCTTCTCCAATGATGAGAACGGCTGATTTCATATCAGGAAAGCCACTGTGACAAACTACTCCAGGAGAATCAACAACACACCATCTTCCCCTCCAGTTCTTTTATACTGTTGGCAAAAATCCTCAAGTGGGCCTCCCACCCCCAGAACCACACTAATTCAGTTCTGAGTGTTATAACTGAGTGTTATAAGTTGACCATTAGTTAATCCACCACAGACAGAATTAGGTTTCTTAACCTTACATGGATCTTACACCCAGCCTTAAATTACACTCTTCACTTGGGGAAAAATCATATTTGAGAATTTTCACGTTTAACCCAGGACCAACAATTCAAGTCTTTTAAATCATAAAGTCTATGGGAGAGAAGTCAATTTCTAAATAATGAGAATGAAAGAATTAAATATAACAGGTACTTTGCAGTACCTGTTTGCTAAATGTCTCACTATATTTTTAACCCAGAAACAGTGGAATGTATTATACCTATATTGATTTTTAGGTTCCTGTGTGCTGTTTGGCTTTAGTTTAATAATCAAATTACCCAAAAAACAAGGTTTTCTGTCTACATACAAAGAAAATTGAAAATAATTGATTCTATAATCTAATATGACAATATATATTAATAGCTATATATTAATAGATAAATTTGTAATCCAACAGTATAATCATTCAGGGTCTATAATAGCAAATGTGGTGCTACAGGTACAAGGGTATCCAAGTATTGAAATTGCATCACAGGGAGTTTAAATAACCATCACTAAGATGTTCAAGTAATTAAATGTGTGTCTTGAACGACATAATAAATTACAACACATATTCAGTAGCTGAAAACATCAAGAGCTAAAATTAAGAACTCAAAGTTTCACTCTAACAACATAGTAGATCAACAGAAGATGGAAATAATAAAGTATAAGGACAAAGGAAAATACACCAATTAAGGAAAGAAAGGAAGAATAAAAGAAAACATAAATAGGGACATAAAAGCCATGGTAAGAAGAGCTCACATACCTATAACCTAAATCTTAGGTACATAAGACCATAACTGACAGTATGAAAGTAGAAATTAAGGGAACTAAACCTCAGACAGCTTCTGGAATGCCAGTGAGCCACCCTGAGCCCTCATCCATGAGCTTGGGAGCCAGGCAGAACCCCAGACAGCTTCAGGAGCCTGGGGGCCACTCCCTGCCCCTCCTCCCCCAACCCCATTGGAGCTGAGCTGAACCTTGGACAGCTTCAGAAATGCCAATGTGCCTCCTCCACCCCTCCCCTACAAGTGTGGGAGCCAGTCAGAGCCCTAGACAGCTTCAGAGGCTGGGGGGCCACTCCCTGCCCCCACCCTACATGCTCAGGGGAGCTAAGATGGACATCAGAAAGCTTCAGTGGCCTCAATGACTGCATGCTCACCCCCATACACACTGGCATGGGAACCAGGATGGGTCCCAGGCAGTGTCTGGAACCTCAGTGACCATGACCCAACCACTATACACCCCTGTGGAAACAGGGCTAAAACCCAGACAGCTTTAGGAACCCCTGATTGGGAGCCAGGCTGAGCCCCGGTCAGCTGTGGAAGCATTGGAGATTGAACCCCATCTGCACACACCATCAAAGGAGCCACACAGCACTAGGGACATTTGGGTCCTTGTCCCACCAATTCGACATCATCTTGGGAGTGAGGCTGAGTTCCAGGAAACCTCTGGATCTCCAAAAATGACAAAATGAAGGAGCAAAATGCAATCACAGACCTCTAACTCACCCAGAATAATCCCAGGAGATATTGATACAGAAGAGATTGGAAGTCATACACCTAAATTTCTGAAATGATAGCAGCTGAAGTAAAGGAACAACTCCATCAGGCCATAGAAGACATCAGATCAGAAATAATCTCTGAGATTAAAAAAAGAAATAACAATAATGAAAGAATTTCTTCACACATCTAAAGAAGATACAGGCACCCATAGTGTGTCTGCTGGAACTGGGCTGAACCCTGGACATTTTCAGGAAGCCCAGTGAATCACGGCAGCACTTCCTTGACCAGCGTGCAAGGCAGGCAGAACTCTGGGCACCCTCTGGGGTCTTGGTGGCTACTTGCCACACTCATAGTGTGTCTACCAGGGCTGGGCTGAACCCCAGACATCTTCAGGAAGACCAGGTAGTCAAGGCAGTGCCTCCCAGACCAGCATGCAAGGCAGACGAAAGCTTGGGCACCCTCTGGGGCCTTGATGGCTACCCACCACACCCATAGTGTGTCAGCTGGGGCTGGGCCAAGTGTCAGATGCCTTTAGGAACCCCGGTGAGCCACTCTGGTGCCTCCCCCACTAGGGTGTGAGACACAGGGAGCACTGAACAACTTCTAGGTCCTTACTGGTTACTGCCAGAACAACTCATACCCACCCCCTGGGAGCTCAGGTGAAACCTGGACAGAGTCAGCAGCCTTGGGGAGTCCACCCTCACCCCTCCCCTGCTAGTATGGCAAGCAGGCTATCCTGGGCAATAGCTGAAGCCTGGGTGAACATGACCTGCATCCCCCTATTGTTGTAAAAGCTGGGCAGAAACCCCGACAGTCTCAGGAACACCAGCAAGCCTCCCCCACCTTTCCCATACACATGCCTGGGAGCCATTCACATGCCTGGGAGCCAAATGAATGTAAGAAAGTTCAGGAGCATCTGGGACTCCACCTTGCCACCACTCATCAGCACAGGAGCTTCACTGAGTGCTGGGGATCTTCAGACTCTCACCCTGCCATTCACACACAATCAGGAGAGTGACACTGCTCTCCAAGGAGCCTCTGGATCTTCAAAAATGACAAAATGAAGGAGTAAAATGCAATCCCAGACCTCCACACCACCCAAAACAAGTCCAGGAAACATCAACACAGAAGAGCCTAGAAGTCATACACCTGAAATTTCTGAAATGATAGCAGCTGAAGTAAAAAAACAACTCCATCCAGCCATAGAAGACATCAGATCAAAAATAATGTCTCAGGTGAGAAAAGAAATGACAACAATAATGAAAGAAATATTCAGCATATCCAAAGATGACACTGACAAGACAATAGAAGAGCATAGACAACTCATGGAAACCTTCAGTGAACAATATGGAAAAGAACTAGAAGGTATGAAAGAGATGCAAACAAATATCCAGGAAATTAAAAATTCCACTGAAAGCTTGCAAAACCACCTGAATGAAGCTGAAGATAGACTTTCAGACTTTGAAGACAGCATTGCCACTAATGAACATGCAAGAAGGGATCTCTTAAAAACAACAAGGAATGAGGAAATAACAATTCAACAACTGTAAGACAAAGCAAAGAAAAAAACAATGTCAGACTAATAGGTATTAATGAAATAGCAGATGTTAACACAAATGACATCAAAAGACTATTTGGAGAAATAATAGCAGAACACTTCCCAGGCATGGTAAAAGAATTGGACATCCAGATAAGGGAAGCATATACAAATCCAGTTAATCATAACCAAAATAAATCTACACCCAGACATATAGTGATCAAGATCCCAGAAACTCACCAAAAGCTCATAAAATTGAAAGCTGTTAGAGAAAAGAAACAGATCACCTATAAAGGAAGCCCATCAGAATCATGGCAGACTTCTCAACACAAACCAAAATGGCAAGAAGAGCTTGGAGTGAAGTATTTCAGTTACTGAAAGAAAACAACTTCCAACCCAGATTGATGTATCCTGCAAAACTATCCTTCAAAATTAATGGAGAAATAAAATATTTTCATGAAAAGAACAACTGAAGAGGGGCTGGGGTTTTAGCTCAGTGGCACAGCACCTGCCTGGCAAGCGCAAGGTTGTGAGTTCAATTCCCGGTACTGGGAAAAAAAAAAAAAGAAAAGAACAACTGAAGAACTTCATGAGCACCAAACCAACCCTTCAAAGAGTACCAAGAGATATTCTAGAAAGAGATAAAAAAGACCACAACTTCAAGAACAACAACAGAAAGGAAACATCAAGCAGAGCAATTAAACAGAGGGAACAAATAGGAATCAACAGCAGGAAAATTACATGACAAAGATAAGCTAATATATATCAGTTATAACCATCAATGTAAATGGTCTCAATGCACCCACCAAAAGAAGCAGACTAGCAGAGTGGATTAGGGAACAAAACCCAACCATATGCTGTGTACAAGAACACATTTAACTCAAAAGGAAATTCACAGACTGAAAATTAAAGGGTGGGAAACAATACTCCTTGCAACAGGTACCCAGAAAAAAGTGGGGGTAGCTATTCTGTTTGCAGACAACGTGAACTTCAAACCAAGAACAATCAAAAGAGATAAAGAAGGTCACTACATATCTGTTTTCATGAGAAGCCACTTTGAAGATATCAATATGTAATACAACCATTGTTAATTCCCTACCACTTTGTTTGTAACTCTGTATTGTCTGTATTGTGCTTGTGATATGTTGTAAAATGTTGTAT